CTAGGTAACATCTTCAGTGCTAGAATGGAATGGGGTTTGCTCTCTGTTTATATATTGTGACATGCCCTGCCAGTGCTGGTCGGGGTGTGGGTTTTGTTTTGTTCTATATTTTCCTCTGGAAGTTCCTTGATTAAGGTATTGTTTACTGCTTGTATGTCTGGTGATAATCTTGATGTTAATCTCTGTTTATCTGGGTGATGATTGCCAGTGAGGAGATGTTCTGGTCTTTTGTTTTCCTTTCTATTGTGTCTTTTGAATAGTGTGTAGATGTTGTTTATCTGTTGATGGCTGCCTTGTCTGAATACCAGCAATTCCAAGAATTCCCTCACATTTTTGGATTTAGCTTGGTCTAAGATGCTGACAGTTTCCCAGTTGAAACTATGGTTAAGTCTGTCCATGTGTTGTGAGGCTGCTAGCAGTCAGAAGACACAATGAAAACTCCTTAATCTCACTTAATATTTTGAGGGAAGGTGTACAGTAGAGAAGTGATCCAAAATGGATGCAGCCATGTCCATGCATGGGTGGGATTGATTTTCTTTTATTATTTATTTTCCCCCCATTTGGGGTGTGTGTGTTCATTTATTCCTTTGCTCTTCAAACTGTATGAAGCCCATTTTAAGGATTACATTATCAGTCTTAGGTTTTCTACACCATAGATTTTCAGCAATTATATCATTGAATTTTGAAGAGAAGTTAGGGACTGCCAAAAAAAAAAAAATTACCCTTGGGCTAAATGACATATCTGCCTGCCCTTAATTTAGAGCATAACTTAGTTTTTGTACCATCAGTACATTTATAGATGGTTTTCATACCTAATTCACAGTGAATTTGGCAGTTTTAAAGTTCCTAAATCATATGGGTGAAGAAGGCAACATTCTTTAGCAATTTGAATTATCTTCAAGGTCCTCTGGTTATATTCTCCTGTGGCCACATATAATAGTTCTTTCTTCTGCAGGGGCATCATGCTTATGGACCTTTCTGCCAAGGACTTTCATTTTACTAAATCTCCCCCACCCCCATTGCTTTACATTTAAGAAGGTGAGGATTTGGAGGCTCTGAAATATTCATGGTGCTGTTTTGTTTTGTTCTAATTTTGTAGAGGAAAATACTTTTTTGGATAGGATGATTTGGTGGAAATATGCACTTGATTAGAGATGGTTGATGTACTACAGGTAATTGTCGGGTTATGATGCCAATTAGGACCTGGAACTCTGTTGCTAAACAATGTGGTCGTAAAGCATGATATCACATAACCATGTTGCTTAGCGATGGCAATTCCAGCAGTTCCAGTTGCCCTCGTTAAATGAGGACCACATGGGTCGTTAAACAAGGACCTCACATGATCATGACTTCTGACTTCCTGCCAGCTTCCCCACTGACTTTACTTGTGGGAAGCTGGCAGGGAATGTTGGAAATCGTGATCACATGACTATGCCTCGCTGCAGCACTGTAATCATGAGCTGGACACCAAGTGCCCAGATCACAAGCATGTGACCACGAGGACGCTACAACAGCTGGAACTCTGAGGACCTGTTGTAAGTCCCCCTTGCTCAGCACCATTGTAACTGAATGGTCACTGAACAATTGTTTGTAACCTGAGAGCTATCTGTAATCTTACTATATGTACTGTTTTTAAAGTGGCTTCATTATGTTCAGTGTGGTACACCCTGTCTCTGTGACTCTATAAGGAATCAAAAGGCATGCTACTCTTCTCAGAGTGCTGTGTTCAGAGTTTACAATTTGTGTAATTAAAAATAGTAATGAGTCATATTTCACACTGGTTGATGCGGGCGAGAAAAACTGCTTATAAAAGATAAGCTTCTCCTTGGTTAGCACCACTGCAAAGAAAGGTTGTTTGGGTGGAAACACTGTTTTTTCCTGGCCCCTACAGGGGGCAGAAGCTAATTGACTTTGGCTAATCTTGAAAAAGCTAAGTAGAGTCAGGCCTGCTTAATACTTGTTTGAAAAATCCAAAGGCTTTGGCCTAGAAAAAATGGGGGTTGAAAAAAATATCCTGGAAGAAGACAGTAGCAAGTCACTTCTGTATTGTTGCCAAGAAGGCAATCCATGTAGTCAATCCATATCCATGTAGGCACCAGAGATAAGTTCAGCCAAAGGAAATCCTTATCTACAAGTGGATATAAGTCACCTAATGTAGCCCAAGAATGGGGAGTTTATTCTTTTTTTTCCCAAGAGGTCAATCTTACTTGATCCATTCCACGGATAAGAACAGGAATATTTGTTGTAAAGGAAAAAGTTTTAGAAGTGTAAAGCTTTTAGTACTTGTTTATTTCAGGATTCCATGGATTCCTTGTAATGAACAAGGGGATGCTAGAATGTAGGTCATATGAACAAAAACCCAAAATTTGCCTGAAATGTTTTGATTACTTTCTGTAACTTTTCTCTTAGGTACAGCACATGGGAGCCCGAGGAGCACATTCTTGACCCTCGTCTGGTGATGGCTTATGAAGAGAAGTAAGAACATTTCCTTTTTCCTTTTGGAAAGGCTAAACCAAAGCCTCTGGCTTCTTTGGGAAAAAGGTGTAGCATGACTGCATACCAGCGTTTCTCAACTTTCACATCTTTAAGATGCCTGAACTTCAACTCTCAGAATTCCCCAGCCAGCATGCTGGCTGGGGAATTCTGGGAGTTGA